ATAGAGCTGTTTGGTACTAAAAAGTTGTATATATTAAAGTTTTATTATGTAACATTCAGATGAAAAAGTCGCAGACCAATTACAAAGTTTTAGTACTACGAAATAATATGTAGTTTTAATAAAGGAATATTTTATGCTGTAAATGATTTTTGAATAGACCGATAATTTAAAAAATGTTAATACTTATATGATAATTAAAGCTTAGTAAACGTGTCTTTCTTCATTAAAATTTAGTAAAAAAAATAGATTTAATATCATATATTTAAACGGCAGTAGAGTATTACGTAAGTAAAATCATTTATTTTAATATTTTAATAAATAGTCACTAGATAAATATTAATAATTTAATAGTAGTATAATAATGTGATGATACAATTAAATAACCAATTACCCAAACATATGAACATTCCTCGTTTTTATAATTATGTTGTTGTCTATTCCATATGGTATTAAATGAAAACCTTAAACAAAAAGTAGGGTCATACTATCCCTCTAAAAAAATCTTCCATATCGACTTCTTTTTATTACTTGAGTTATATTATTTAATTATTGAGCAAATTTTAAATACACGTTAGCACTTAACCTACCTTAATGCTGGAATTTTAAAAGCGGTTAATTTTGTAGTTGGCGTAACGTAAACAATTCACCACAAAAGTAAACAAACCGAACGTAACCGAGGAGAGAGATCGGACACTGTCTGCCTCTGCTTACTAATTTTAAAGAATGTTACAATCAACGTGATATACAAACTACTAAAATACCTAAAATAAATTGTACTGAAGGTTATCTTCCTTCCAATTCATCGAAGAATGTATTCGGCCTTGCGAAGCAAGAATGCATCTTTTTATATTTTTTTATACGCGTTCATAATTAACTAAACTACAAACCATGATTATGACATCAAAGTCCGTAACGCCTTCAGTCTAGTAAGGCGCGCTTTTACGAAGTCTTCTGCCGCATTGGAAAACCAAATACCATTTGGTTGAAGTTCACAATGGCACTCTTCAAAACGTCATTACATAGACATACAAGAAGACAGTCTTTAATATACATTATCTTCAATCGTCATTGTCTAATACAAATCTATTATACAATAACACATACAGTGTCCAGTCATATGCCATATACAATTAACGCTAAACCCAATAACTTGTTGGTTACAAAAGTAAAGTATCAGCCTACATGTTCCACTGCTGGGCAAAGGCCTCCTCTCTACAGAAGGTATCAGGCCATAGTCCACCACGCGGCCCCACTGCGGATTGGCGGACTTCACATATCTTTGCAATATTTTTTTTGGTTATTATTTCGAAAATATGCGGGTTTCCTCAAGATGTTTTCCTTCATCGCTGAGCACGTGATAATTCGGCACATAAAATTAACTACTTCATTGGTACCGGCACCAGGGATCGAACTCAGATTGCAGGGTATATGTATATATGTTACCGGCCAAACCCGATATCAGAACAAACTAGTTTTGCCTAGGCTAAACTAGTTCTTCCTATATGAGATAGGAGTAACTAGTTAAGCCTAGGCCAAACTAGTTTGGCCCAAGCCCGATTCAATTTTTATGTTTTTGTTACCCGATAGTGGTCTTATACAAAAATTTGGAATTATACTCCAAATAAATCCCGAGTATATTAGAAAAAAGTAATGAAAATATATAAGAGTTACCCGTGAATAATATCTGTGCAAAAAAATTATGGCAATTCCGTACTCCGCTCGCGCGTGCATGAAAGACGAATAGAAGAGGCATAGGCAATAGAGAAAGAAAAAATGAAAAATATTTATTTGGTACATAAACTAACATTTACATAAACTAATAATTAGTGTTTATGATCTTTTTTAGCTTATTGCACCTACCACAATCTCTCTTCACGCCCCGGGTTGAATGGGAGAGAATGCCCAAATGGCATTAAGTCCGCCCTTTGTAATCCTTTTTTTTAAGGTTTTGCAATAAAGCATAAATAAATAAATAAATAAAAAATAAATAAACGCAGTAATTTTATTATAAAGAAAGAAAACAATTTTAAATGCTAGATAATAATAGTGGCAAAATAGTGCAATAGTGGCAGTGGTAACCTAATATTGCGATATCTAAACGCAATCTGGTTGAGTCTGTCTTTGTTTGTTATCTCCGATTTCTTCCGTAAAAATTACTATATCTCTGTCCTTTATATGACCTTTATATAGCAAAAGTGAAGTGGGCATCTTTAGGGCATCAGAAAGGAGGCTTCTACTGAGTGTCAGCATTTACCTACAACGATTCAACTCTCGAATGATCGTTATGGTATGATAGTCAAAGATGAGCTAGTCAGCAGAAAAAATAAAGCTTGTGTTCTCCCACTATTTCTCAAGTATAAGACTAAATAAGGTCGATTTATTTGATTTGATTTTTAGGTTTCCGTACCCAAAGGGTAAAACGGGACCCTATCACTAAGACTCCGCTGTCTGTCTGTCTGGCACCGGGCTATAAAGTGATAGTTAGACAGTTGAAGTTTTACAGGTGATGTATTTCTGTTGCCGCTATAACAGCAAATACTAAAAAAAAGGATAAAAAATCAAAGTGGGGCTCCCATACAACAGCCATTATTTTTTCGGGGTTTTTATATATAATGATACGGAACCCTTCGTGCGCAGTCCGATTTGCACTTGGCCGATTTTTCGATTCTGCACGTGTATTACGATCAACTCGCACCCGACCGCTAAAGTCACGCACAATCAATTTACAACCAAATTTATGAAACATTGGACATTTATACTCTGCCGAAGGCCCGGCTTTGACGCGTGACTCTGGTCTCGGCGTCGGAAATAGTTACCAGTCTGAAAATAAACGGGCTTACAAAACTGTGATGTATAATGCTGATTCACATAGCAGCTGATTCGAGGAATCTGTCCTATCGCTCGTTTACGTCGTAAAAGTCGACAAGGGCAATACGTCAAAAACAAGAATGTTGCCACACTAATGTTTGTCTTACTGTAAATCAGACGCAGCATTCGTGGAGGACAATTTTTCCGATATTTCTAAAACTGGCACATATTTTTAGCGCTTTATGATTAAATATGAATTTAAACATAAAAATAAATACGAATCATAAACGAATCAATAATATTATAGCGACCGTACCAAACAGGTAAAAAAATAGGATTAAGGAATAAATTGCACAATAAAATGGTTATGTATCCGTTATTTCCTAATCTGTCATAATTCAAACAGAAATATTTTATGGAGAAAATAGCGCACCTTATGTGAAAAGAAAAATTTATGATGAATTTGAGAAATCTTTTTTGGCGCGAAATAAAAATGTCGCAGTAATTTATTATCTGCATTAATAAGTGATGCATCGTGATGGTTTAGATGACTCGTTATCCACAGAATGCAATCAGACCACCGTAACTAGGTTTATGACCCAGTTATTTAAAGTTTTATAACACAATAAAATAACACGTCAAGTTTGTTTTATGATAACGCAGGAACGGCACAGCGTTGTTGCGTTGCATTGAGCAAGTTAAGATTGTTAGACTTACGATCTTATATTCGCCATACTTGTTTCAATTTCGAGTATTGCCAAGTAGAATACTAGAAGTTCATTACTACTTGTCTCCTATTCTTTATTTTTTAAGGTGAGGAACAAACGCAAGTTTTTTATAAGCAGATATTTCTGACTTGGAAAATTCAATACTCCTTTTAAGTTATAAGGTGGCAAGTGAGCTGACGGTTCACCTGATGCTAAGTGATAATCGCCGCCCATGGACATTGGCAAAACCCCTAGTGTAGCAGATGCGTTTCCAACTAAAGTGAACACCCTTTAATGAGCCCCGGCTATCCCACTCATCAAACGAAACGCAGAAGTAAAACACTTCACGCCGGTCTTCTGTGAGGTCGTGGTACTTACCCGGACGGACCTACCCATTAGTGCAACAGCGAAGACTGTTGCCTGGCTCTACCACAGGAAATCCTTCCTTGACCTGCTCGCATGACACCTTCTCACATAACAAAGGATGTAACACTTTCCCGGGCGTCTGGGCTCAGGTATGCGTCAGTAAAATATTAAGCTGTTGTTAATCGATTAAAAAAAAAGATATGTAAATAAGTATTAGTGATGATGTCATGGGCCCGGCAGTTCATAGCCAATTGTCCCACTTTACATTATACATTCAGGTTCATTTGCGTCCACATTCTTTTCCGAGAGATTGCTGCCCCCCATTCGGCTAGCCTCGATACTGACAATAATATTGTACTTTTCCACAAACTGTGCATCCGTTCCAAGGATTTTCATCTTTATTATTAACTAAACAGATTTCATTTTCGTCCGCGACCACTATGGTACATTCGGATGTATATCGCCGTTAACCTAGAATTTCAACGGTTTTGGTTTGAGTATAGAGAACGCGCGTACAAAGTTAGCATATAAAGTTCTAAGAGCGTTTGTTCTTTACATTCGTGAGGATCATTTTTAATATACAAACGCCAACAACTGTTATAGGCGTGAGATAATACCAAAATACTTTCTTCCATGAACCCACTATTGGCTACTTTTGCCTTTGGACAATAAAAGATGCAAATTTTTACTTACGACACAGTACATATAAATTTTGAGAGTAATCATATAAATTTTGAGAGTGTCTAAAGGACACTAAAATTTACTGAAAATATATGACGAACAGATTATAACTTCAAAAGCACATAATTTTACGTAAACAATTAAGATAAACGGTGTCGCTACATCGATCATAGACCTCATCTTTTGGACGTGCCAAGGTTTCTTAAGTCTGTCGCTATCTAAAAAGAAAAGTATTTTACGACTTATTTACTTCGCAGTTTATTACCTAGTTAATCAAGCTGTTCCAAAAAACATTGTTTCTCAGATTTTAGATCGAGACAGTTTTCATACGGTGGAAATTGTTAGTTAGCTGTGATTGTGTATAGATCAAATGCATATAATTCTTTTTCATGTATTTTCTGTATTGGAGATTTAACGCGATAACTTTTTTGTCTTCAGGACCTCGACAGCAACCTTTCTGTGCCGGCGCGCTGGGAGGACCGGAATCTTCGGAACTACCTAAACAAACACGATATGGGTAAGTGTATGAAGAATAGAAATTACAGGAGACAAAAGTAATCTTAAAAATTACAGAACTTGTCAGCATGTTGTGTAAACATCGAAGGCAGATGATTCGTGATAAGTGTCAAATATTATTTTTTTGGCGCAAATATGTGTCCATTTCAGATTACCTTTTGTGTCATTTGCTGTTAAAACTTTAGGCGCGTGGAGTCCACGCAGATCGAAATTTTATAATGGTCTGAGCCCAAGACTTATTACCGCAGGTAGTGACAAGAGGGCTGGTTGTTTTCTCACCAAAAAGTTAAGCTTATATAACATCTATTGCTAAGCCAATAGCTTAGCAACGGCGCCACCGAGTCATCTATTACACTTAAATGATATTGATTTTTATAATATAACTAGCGACCCGCCCCGGCTTCGCACGGGTGCAATGCTGAATGTTTGTTTTCGGCATCGCATTAGAAACCTCTAAAACTATCAGTGTCTCTCTACTATATTATGCATCAATTATACATGTAAACCTTCCTCTTGAATCACTTAAACTTAACTCTTGATCTATTAAAGAAAACCGCATCTAAATCCGTTGCGCAGTTTTAAAGATCTAAGCATATATGGGGACAGACAGACGGCGGGACGACTTTGTTTTATACTATCTAATGACGGTTTTAAAACGAAACAAAAAACGCCTGTACCATACTTTATCACAAATGTACCCAACAAAGCTGTACTGTTCATTCGGGATCGAATCCTGTCTTCAGAAAAGGCGAGCCGCTGGATTGGCGGCATCTACGATCACGGCGCCCGCGCTTGGAAGTGGGGCGGGGAGCTGCGCCAGATGCACTACCAGTCCTTCTCCAAGATGAAGAAACTGTCCCCCGAGGAGCTGAAGTGGAACTGCATCGCCATGATGCCGGAACTGCTCTACAGGTACGTCGACGAGAAATAGTTCTCTAACAGCTATTCCATTAATATATATTATACATAACAATCACTGTGATTTTGGCACAGCACAATAAATCTGATTAAAAAGATGTGGTGATACAAGCGTCTACAGGGAAGATTTCCGTCACAGACGTCGTTTCGTATATGGACGTTTCATTTTAATATATACGCCAAAATACATAAGAACATTGGAAAAATTATCAGATAGGTAGCAAACCAGGACAATTTAAATAAATAAACAAATTTACCTTACATGCCGACTTACATGCGGCGAGACTTACGCAACTTCAATACAGGTCGTATTGAGGGAGCTATAGAGCGGAACCTAGGCTCAAAAGTCTTCGCCAGAGATCTGTCTATCGGACAAAGCCAACTGACTAAGTTGAAGACTGACAGCGGCGTTATCATCTCCAGTAGACCAGAGGTTTTGAGTGAGATAGAGAGGTTCTATGGACAGCTGTACACATCGTCGTTGGAACCACACACATGTGTGAGTAACGACCCAAGAGCAAAGCTTATCCGACACTATTCCGATAATATCCCGGACGTCAGTCTGAGCGAGATTAGAATGGCTCTTGACCATCTTAAGAATGGCAAAGCATCAGGAGAGGACGGAATTACAGCAGAGCTTCTGAAAGCGGGTGGAGAACCGGTACTTGTAGTCCTTCAGAGGCTCTTTAATTCCGTCCTTCAGGGTGGCACTACACCAGAGGCGTGGAGCAGAAGTGTGGTGGTGCTGTTTTTCAAGAAAGGCGATAACGCTCTCTTGAAGACTATAGACCGATATCCCTTCTGAGCCGCGTCTATGTGCTGTTCTCAAGAGTCATCTTGAATCGTCTCGCTTCCAGACTCGACGACTTCCAGCCTCCCGAACAAGCTGGATTCCGAAAAGGCTTCAGTACCATAGACCACATACACACCTTGCGGCAGATTATACAGAAGACCGAAGACTATAATCTGCCTTTGTGCCTAGCGTATGTGGACTATGAGAAAGCCTTCGATTCGGTCGAAATTTGGGCGGTACTCCAGGCTCTTCAGCGGTGCCAAATTGACTGTCGGTATATCGAGGTGCTGAGGTGTTTGTATAACAAGGCTACGATGTCCGTCCAAGTACAGTCCAGTAGTACAAAACCTATCCAACTGCAGAAGGGTGTAGGACAGGGTGATGTCATATCCCCGAAACTCTTCACCGCTGCGTTGGAAGATGTTTTCAAGCTTCTGGACTGGAAAGGACGAGGTATTAACATCAATGGCGAATACATCACCCACCTCCGATTTGCCGACGATATAGTCATCATGGCAGAATCGCTGGAGGACCTTAGTACTATGCTCAATGACCTCAACAGTGTCTCCCAACGGGTGGGCCTTAAGATGAACATGGACAACACGAAGATCATGTCTAAAGTCCATGTCACGCCAATACCGGTTGTTGTTGGGAGCACTGAGCTCGAAGTTGTTGACGAGTACATTTACCTAGGACAGTTAGTCCGGCTAGGTAAGTCCAACTTCGACGCAGAGGTCAATCGGCGAATCCAATTCGGATGGGCAGCGTTCGGGAAACTACGGCAAATCTTCTCGTCAAATATACCTCAATGTTTGAAGACTAAAGTCTTCAATCAATGTGTGTTGCTAGTGATGACCTACGGAACCGAGACGTGGTCTTTCACTACTGACCGTATGAGGAAGCTGAAAGTCGCTCAGCGAGCTATGGAGCGGGCTATGCTCGGTATTTCTCTGCGTGATAGAGTTCGTAACGAAGACATCCGCAGTAGAACTAAGGTGACCGACATAGCTCAGAGGATTAGCAAGCTGAAGTGGCGATGGGCCGGCCATATAGCTCGTAGAACCGATACCCGTTGGGGAAGAAAGGTTCTTGAGTGGCAGCCTCGTACTGGCCATCGCAGTGTGGGACGACCCCCCACCAGATGGAGTGACGACGTATTCAGGCAGTTTGACTATGTTCAGCAGTGGACTCAAACAGGCTGAAATGATGATTCAGGCTTTGACTGTCTTTACTATATCTGACCACCGGCACAGGGTTGAACGAAGTGATCGGTACATAGTCTAAATGTCTAAGTAAAAACATTTCAAAATAAAAACCCTCGGCATTTATTCGGAGTCGAAATAAAACTCTAAACCGTTGCTCGTCTTGATTAACATAGCTAAGTCACGGAAGTTGAGACCCCACAAATAAACAATAGCCCGTAACTTGGACCTTGAGGAAGTTTGACCAGCTGTAGAGCAAATAAGACGGAATTGCTACGTTCCGGCTCCGTCCACGGCTTACTAGAAACTTCGTAGTACTTACCAAGTGAGATTGTTTTTCGCCTCGTAAATGTTCTTGACATCAACGGACAATAGAAAGTCCGCCAGGTGTTTACTTTGGTAACCTGCTAGACAAAATTCTCCATACAGCCAATTTGAACCAAGTTTGCAATCGACGTAATTCACGAAAGCATACAATATATCAATTACCCACAAGCTATAAAAGTAAAAACCATATGCACAGTACATTGGATTAAAAAATCAATTTTGAGTATACACAATAAGAAAAGACGGCTTATTATGTTTTTCTTAAGCGACAGCGAATATATTGATAATAATATAATTTTGTGTATACATAATTCAATAAATTCAGAAACAAAAGCTAGACGAAAGCAAATTGATTTTACCGTTAAAGGGTGACGATAAACACTAATAACAATCTGTATTTATTTTGTCATAAACAATATTTTTTGTGGTTAGTAAAACTCTTTTTAATTCCAATAATGGCTTTACAAAATCGTGAAAATATGCTTGTGAACGGTAATAAAAAAATAAAAGTAAAAAAAAAACAACAATGAAGAATAAATCACGTAACTATCACAATGTAGAGATCGCAATTAGGGACGGTTATCGTAAAAGTTTTCACATTACACCCCGCCAAAGTCTATGGCCATCGAATTAATGTAACAAATGTCAAGTTCGTGACAAAAGTGTCGTAAGGGGTCATTGTGGGAGTCGCAGGGGACCACGAGCGGCGAACGGCGACAGCCCTAAAATTCGGAATCCGATCTATAATTCATTCACCAAAATGACTACGTTCAGTCCAAATCATCGGTGGAAATCGGCGGACGAAAGAATCTTTGTTATTCACATCGTTTTGTTCGGATTTAGATTTCATTCACACTTACCATCGAGTTAAGCAAATGCTTGTTGACATAATTTCCTTAAAACAAACTGAGCCTACCTACCTACGGACCTCTACAAATGAAATATAAACCTACGGACATCCACAAAAGTTTCAACGGTGGTAGGGCCATGCAGCAGCCTCGGCTGTCGCACGAATGGGCAGGCACCACGACCTCAAAGAAGACCGGCGTAAAGTGGAAGTATAATACTTTCGCGTTTCGTCTGGTGAGTGAGGTAGCCGGAGGCCAATTTCCAAAAAGGTTGTCAACGCATCTGCAAACCCTCAGGTGTAGCAGATGTCCATGGGCGGCGGTATTCACTTAACATCAGGTGAACCGTGAACTTTTCACACATAAAAAAGTGGACCCCGGCGATTCACTCAACAGACGTGATGTAAATACAATACATCCACTTTACGCCGGTCTTCTTTGTTGTCGTGGTACTTACCCGGCCAAGCGGCTGTGCGGCCCCACCACGCTGTTCGAAAACGCTCCCTCTCATCGCGTGCGCCGCGCCAGGGGACATAATGAGTGTCAGCTTGCGAAACCGATCGAGCTTAAACAAAGATCGATACCACGAAGCGGTGTAAAAGTTTTACGAGCTGCGGCGGAATCGGATTATGGCGTCCCATTGTGATGCCGCCCCCCAAATCCTAAGCGCAGATGGCGCGGCAGTGTGGTGTGAAAACGTACTCTCGGATAATGCGCTGAGGCATGTTTGGACCCTTGATGCGTTTCATGTGTTCCATTCCATATGTTTGCTAGACGAATAAGAAAGCATTTAAATAACCAATTATTATAGAATAAAAAATATTATTCACGTGGTTTGTATTCTGTAATAAATATGTGTAATTTAAAACATTACACACCGAGTACGTTAATACAGCGTAATAGAGTAAAGTTGGGAAGATATATTAAGAGCATAAATTGTTTTTATCTATTCAGAAAAACTTCTACGGCATATTTTACTAACTATGCCGTAAAGTTCTTCAGAAGGATAATAACATCATATTACATTATCATATTACACGAGCCGTGTAGTAATACGTCATGTGTAATACCGTGGTTTTTTGTAAGTTTAAGTATTGATTTTTCAAGGTCTAGCAATTTCAGAATGTGTTGAAGATCTGGACTGTTCGTATTACATATACTCTTGTTTTTTATAACAAACAAATTGAAATCCGTTCAATCGTATTGTCAACTATCTCCCTCTGAGCTATCTTCTTCACTAGACCTCTTTACTTAACTAATAAAACTTTAGCATATTGGCAACCTAATAATTTGTAATAAGTTGCACTGTTATATCACCTCTAACTTTATTTGAAATAAAATGTGATCTGAAAAATATAATATACTAGATATAGAGATATAGTGCCAAATAGCATATATATTTTGTTTACTAACGTTACACTTTTTTTTGCTTTTCATCACAATTGCTTTACCAACAATAACTATAAATATTTGCAATCATTATATAACACAAAGCCATATTAAAAAGATTTTTTTTTCACTCGTCGACGCCTGCTACATATAGATTTTTATTTTAAAATGAAATATTGTTAAAATTATATAAAAACGCTATATTTTCGTAATCGTTTCGAAAATCAAATCTAATTCTATGACGCATCGCGGCAAGTCAAACACAATTACGAGCTCTACTAGCAACAACATCGTCGATATTATGGACTTTATTGCAGTTCAAGGCGAACGGATCAATTGACAGGACGTCGCGGGAGCAATCTTCACTATATGAATGCGAATTGATGCTAGAGTCAAACGGTGTGACATTTAATTCACACGTTACTAAATTCCGAGTCAATTGTTGCCTAATTGTGAATTGCTTGATCGTCGTGCGATTGCTTTCAAGTCGTACTGTAGACCTATCTTTGAGATATTTGTGGAATCATACTCTGGTATCTTTGTTACGGCAGAAAGCTAACTGATTTGTCAATTACGAAACAAGTCTGATTCATGTTCCATCTGTAACCGGTTAACACACGATACTTATTCAACCAACATTTTACTTGATAACTGTCGACATGAACTATATGAAAAATTATAGAGCAACTATCTCATCTTTTCAGAAAATTTATATTTAACAGCCATCTTTCAAGGGTAAAAGTATATTTGAAGTCAAAGTCAAAATTTCTTTATTCAATAAAAGCTTTAGGCTCTTATTGTACGTCGAAAAAACTACCTGTTTACTACATTAGACGGAAGAACTGCTAATTGAATCTGACGTCTTATTAACTTTTTTTTAAATGATATGTACAAAAATTTTTTTAGTTATAAAATCAGCAGCTGCAAGTGCAGTGCAAGTAATTCCACACAAACTGGTCCTCTATTTTCTTTGACATTGTAGGCCATTTCCATTAGGGAAAGGATAATATTGAGCGGATGAATGTACCGTGTGCCAGCTTAGCGCTACAAAGCAACATCGGACTTAGTGTTTTTCACAATTGTTACTTTTACTGACATTTAAATCGAAAATATATAACCATGAAATCAAATCAAAAATCAAATCATTCATTCATCGAAATAAGAAATATACATTTCATTTATCGATAATCATTTTTTAAATCTACCACCGTTTCGTAATGAGGTTCCTCTAACGGAGAAGAAACAGGTTAAAGAAACTCCGTAGATATCCTATTTTAACAAGCTGTTTAACTTGAACATTGCAGATGGGCGCCGCGAAGCTGCATAGAAGCGAGGCAGTACATATGCCAAACGAAACTGCGCAAGGTGCCGAAGTCCAAGCTGAAGGAGCTCAAGCGGCGCTGGCAGCGGATGGGCAAGATCAACGAGATAACGGCGCCCAGCGTCAGCCGCGAGGTCGACGACCCCAGGAGCAATGACGTCACCAGCAACCCCGTGCTCAACCCGAAGTCCTTCGACCTGCGCCCAAGCCCGCTGCAACCGGGGCCGAGGACGCACGACCGCAGACCGAACCCCATCCGAAACAACCCGAAGGCCTACGACCTGAGACCAAACGAGCTCAGGAAGAGGTCCAGACCGAACGCTCGCAGGCGTCTCACGAGGCCATTCCCCGGGTGAGTATACACTCAATAACATTTATGACGATATGTGCTGATGATCATTGCTTATTATTCTATTAGCAGAAATGATATTTGTATGAAAATAGAGATGAAAAAGAAAATAGTTGGGACAAGTGAAAAAATTCTAGATAATATAATACCTTACTACAGTCAGTGGATGACAGATTATCTTTATATGAACCACTGCACCATTTTTAATGGTACTAGATTTTTAGGAGTCTAAAAAACTCATTGCAAATCGATACTGAACAAATTTTGGGAATCCCGAAGACTATTGCTTCTCTGTTGCACGAATGGGCAGGTCCATCCGGGTCCACCACTAATCCACCACTAACTCACAGAAAGACCGACGTGCTTTGGAAATGATATAACTTCTGCGTTTCGTCTGGTGAGTGAAGTAAACGGGGCCTACTTTATTTCAAGGTGGCAACGCATGGCGGCCTTACGGGTGACGCAAACGTCAATGGGTGGTTATCACTGAACATCGGCTGAACCGCCTGCTCGTTTGAGCTCTTTTTCAGCACAAGAGGCTTTTTATGTTAAACAAACAGCCGAAGTGATTCCAACCTTTGTCCGCAGCTACAAATGGAACCGCCACGACCCGGAGGCGTCGTTCCGCTACAACTCGGAGCTGCTGCGCTCCGGACGGACAGGCCTGAGCCCGCAGCAGATCAAGGGCCACCTGGCGCGCTTGCAGCATTTGCGCGACAAGCAGATCCAGCGGCGCAAGCGGCTGCGCGAGAGAGACGACTGGCTGGTGAACGACGCCGCGCCCGCGATAGTCCACACGCACGCGAGGACGTACACTGTGGACAACAACATCAGCGCCCTCCACCCGAAGACGATCGTTGAGGAGTTCGACATGATGCCACCGCCGCCCCCCATCGCCATAGCCCGGCCCGCTCGCCGAGCCGGCTAGTGCGGAATCGATTCTTTCACCCGTTACATCCGAAGTGAAAACGTCTATGATATTCCGCGTTGGCTCCTCTATCTCTTGTAGAACTATCGCTTTCTGATCTTGCAGTATTTCTCCTTACGATATTGCTACTGTTTACTCTTTTGCGGCTTCCTGGTTCTCATGCCTGATATATTTTACGATGTTTTTCTTTCTATATATTATTAGAACTATGTCATCGACTATGATACAAGGCAATGTTTTCCGACAATCTGGTTTTGAAACTTATTTTAATGGTTTATTCTCGCGTTTTCTATTGATCAGATAACAAATTTTTAACGAATTGTTCTCCCTGACAATATAGTATGCTTTGCTAATACTGTAGCTGTCTCTCTTCGAATGTTTTAACTATCGATATCTTTCTTCAACGCTGAGCCATGGTTCGCTTTCAAGTTCTTCTTCTCTTCCTTTTCTAGAGTGGCCGGAACGACAATTTATAACGTTTCAATATCGATCAATGCTTAACTCTGACTAATTTTAGATTTAATTTTTTATTTATTTTCACAATCACTATTTCATTTGTTCATATTATGTGCAAAAGTATTTCCAGTTTTGCCCTGAATGACAACGAAATTGATGTTATTTGGTGTCAACTATAAATATGTTCGTAATAAATGAACATTTCAGTATCGCATTGGTTAGGATTAATAGCTTGTAATAATTATCACGAGGTTAAATCTTAAAATCTTTGTATTTTATCTAGCTGTCGTAATTGAAATCCTTACTGTTTTAAAATAATATATCACTCTCTAAAAATATTTCTCATTCAACATGCTACATAGAAGTGACAGCATTTGTATCATTGTATCTTGTAACTTTGAACTACTTTAATAAAATATTCTCGAAATAATTATAATCCCAATATAATTAATAATTTATATTAACGGCTTTGAATGCAAAAATATATGTGCTAAAATGTATATTGATAATGAAAGAAAAACTAGTCAGTAAGATTACTTGAAATATACGGTTTAGTGTTTCGTTTCAACCATAATTTTAAACTAATTACTCAACCGGTCTATTAAACATTAGAAACCTACGCTAATAAATTATATTTAATGTTCTCTCATTGCGTTAGGTGTATTTATTAAAAAGAAAGTATAAATTAACACATCAAAACGTGTCGTACACCATATTGGCATTTCGCTTTGTCTCTTACGATAAGTTAATTTTAATTTTACGTTCCAATTTACATGTATGTTGTTAAGGTAAACCTAATGGAATTATTATTAAGTGCCAACGTCTTAGTCCTCGCATTTAAACGACGATCATACTTAATTAGATAGATTTTTAGGAATAACGGTCTATTGCAAGTAGCTCTGACTACACCGACGGATAATCAGATAATATAAGACGATTGTACTTTAAAAGGATAACTTTTATTTTTGGTGAGAACTTAAAAAGTATTAATATGTTCTATTTGTCAATAATTTAAAACGTTGAATTCTAACACTATTTAAGAATAAGCTAGTACACTCAGGAAAGTTTTACTTTTTGTGTGGTATAATTATACTCTGTATTTTACAATTCGTATATTGACAACATGCAGATGCAGCGAATTAAGTTTTTTTTGCTATCAATGTCTACCGTGTAATAAGGATGCCACTTTACGCCAATAATAACATAAATTTTTGCACAAAAGTAGTAAAGAAATTATTCAAACTGAGTGAGAATTGTTTTTTATCTCCATAGTTTTAGGATTATATAAAATAAATCATAACTTTCCACGCAAATTAATTTATTTTGTTTCAAAATATTTTTTTATTTTGTATGTGATTTGTAGGTATATTAAAAATAAAATTTCATTCGATGCTGTGTCATATAGAAACAAAAACAATTTTGTTTCCCTTTTCTAGTGTTTATTTTGGAATGTAAGTAAATAAAGAAATGTCTAAGCATAACATATTTTAGTTTCATTTACCCGTATTTGAAATGGCGCCATCTATTGATGAGTAGCACAATCAATAAATCCATATTAAACACTTTAAATGACTTACAAGACGCGTTATATTAAAATGCAAGAACTATATCGTTATATTTAACTGTCCTTTATTAGAGGAGGAACGAAAATTCTCGTTCGACTATATTCAAATTCTTTGGCTACTGGAACTTTGTTCTCATTAGCCTTTTTGGATCGCTATCCTAAAAAAATTAGTTCGTGACGTTTCAAGAATCACACGCGGTTCAAAGAAAAAGAAATCTTCAAAATACTTAATAATTATTTAATTTATTATTAATATAGTAACTTAATATTAATTATATTTAAATATTTTTTACTCTAAATTAATAGTAATAATAATTGTTTATTTTATTAATTTATTGATTAATAATAAATTCTTAATATTTTTAATACAGCGTAAACATTTAAAATCGGATGCTTTAAATAGGATCATGTCATCGCCGTCGTAACGGTGACATCGTCGTCATCCAAAGCATTCAGTTACCAGAAAAAGTCGCCCCAAAAGAAGTTTTACTTCAAAACTCTACCCATTTATCTTTCACTGGTTAACAGCACGGACAAGTTCTGTATCATAAAATTAGTAAAACCAATAAGTTATAACTAACTATACAGCGTGTTGTTACAACCGCGACGATAAATGAACACACATATAGAGGTAACTTTTTAAAATTGTATTATTTTTTTTTTCATTAACAATTTTTAAACATCAATATTTAGCAAGTTATTAAATTTTCCAAAAAAAACAATTTAGAACATCCTTACGTATAAAACTGTAACGTAAAGTTCATTTGTAAAGGTCACAGAGCATATGAATGTGTTGAATGAATTTAAAAGAGATAAAACATACTGTTGGAAGGAGAGATTTGTAATGCGACGCTTTGGCAACGAATGAAAGTCTCTGAATGTATGAATCAGTCGGTTGAAGTTGTATAGGGTGTAACAAATTTTGTTTCTTTTTTATTTAATAAGTTTGTTTTAAAATATTTTTTTAATTATGGATTTTTAACGTTTATATTTTTTTATGATTATTGGCAAGTAGAGTTAGACGTGTGTTCATTTATTATCGCGCTTGCAACGACACGCTGTATATAACTCATAATTATAACAAAATATAAATTGGATCGGAATTGGAATTTTCAATTCAGTTGATAATTATGATTCTCGTTGACATAAGGTTAACTGGCAAATAGTGCTAGTCATAAATAAAACATATGTACTGAAATGCTAGTGCTAGTTACATTCATGACAAGTCACAGCCTTTGTATACATTTATTTTGTGCATAAAATTAATAATAAAACTATGGCACTCGGGGACTGCCGCGGTAAAGCTATTGCATAGCATTTTTATCAACTTATGCGATTATAATTATTTATTTATTTTTTATTTATGCATTTTTTTTTCTATGATATTCATTCAAGTTACACTTTTTGAGCGTGGTAACCGATAAGAAAACAATTTTTTTCTTTTATTGAATAAATGAGAAGTTAATATCGTTTAAAATATTTTTATTATCTTACAATACATGTAGCTTGTTCAGGAATTTTTGAATCATTGAAACTAGATTTATGGTAACTGAGATAAGAAACATAAGTTTGAGACTTGATATCCTCTAAATATCATATCATCATATGATAATATAATATCCATCCGTGCGAGCTTCGTACAGTCGTACCATATACATACACGTAAAGCGAACGCTCGGCCGAGCTACATGGTAGGCGGAGTGTGGGGTGTTAGGTTTTATTTTCGTTACGGAATTTCTTGATTCGGTCGCCGCGCTCAAAGCCCGCGATAAAAGCTATGCAATAGCTAAAAAATTGGTCGACTATTATCTTTACTGTATACAAGTGTTAGACACCAGAGCATTTTGTGTTTAACATGGACAGTATGTATGCGAAAAAATTATGTTTAACTTTATTTTACTTCATGCATTTGCTTGCAACACTTATTTTATATAAATTTAACTTCATGCACTCATTGTACATCTCAACTTTAACTGTCCATAATTCCACACTTCTCAGAGTTTGCAAAATTAATCAAAAGAGAGCCCATTCTGCGTTTTCACGTATAATTCATTTCCTACGACTACAATATTATCCACGCCTGGGACTCATTCATGTCATATCTACGAGTAAGTTGTTTGGATATAGAGCGTCATTCTTTGACAGTTGATATTTTGACGAGCTCTTCAAAGTTGGCGTTTTATTTGCCCATGTATAAGTTGTGTATGTCACAAGATGTTAAAAGGCAGTGGACTGTGGGAGCAAGTATTAAATATAACATTATAGCATTAATTAAATTTTTACAGAAAATAAATCAAAGAGAATTTCGAGTGTTTTTTTTATAAATTTAAATTGTTTATAGTGCTAATTTTTGCACTTAAGATTGAACATTAAAATATGTAGAAAAAGTGCGAAAAGATTGTCGCCGCTGTGGGAATCGAACCCACGTCTTCGGCATTCGCGGCCTGACGCTCTAGCCACTGAGCTAAACGGCTGATTGACACACCGACGAAAATCTTAACGCATTCTTCCACATTGTTTTCTTAGCATTTGAAGCAATGCTTGGCGCCATCTATTGTTATATCCTTTCCAGCATACAAACAATTTCGAATATCGTTTTACAACGATAATTCGAACGAGAGATGTCGCCATTGCTTTTTTTTTTTTTTTATAAATTTAAATTGTTTATAGTGCTAATTTTTGCACTTAAGATTGAACATTAAAATATGTAGAAAAAGTGCGAAAAGATTGTCGCCGCTGTGGGAATCGAACCCACGTCTTCGGCATTCGCGGCCTAACGCTCTAGCCACTGTGCTAAACGGCTGATTGACACACCGACGAAAATCTTAACGCATTCTTCCACATTGTTTTTTCTTAGCATTTGAAGCAATGCTTGGCGCCATCTATTGTTATATCCTTTCCAGCATACAAACAATTTCGAATATCGTTTTACAACGATAATTCGAACGAGAGATGTCGCCATTGTTTTTTTTTTTAT